ATACCATATTTGTCAATAACTGTGGTCTGATACCATATTTGTCAATAACTGTGGTCTGATACCATATTTGTCAATAACTGGTGTTTTGGAGATGTTTTAAATTAGACAAGATCTGAAATGCTTCACTTTGTCAGCTGGTATAGGGGAGACAACTCCTGATATTCACTAATAATACGGAATTTGACTAATATCACTGGGTCAGCTGTGTAGGCTATTTGATCCAATTATTTTGGACACTCTGTGCGGAATGCTTTGAACATTCTTCTGTTTTATATAACATTAGGTCACCTCTAAAGAGATGAATTGTTTATGTAATTGTGCCTACTTCCTATTTCCTTTTGAATATAAAACAATTATGAAATAAGTTATTTCAACTTACATATATGAATCACTCTTGTTGGTCAGCATGTTAGTGTGCTGGGGGTATTAACCCTTTCACCACTGTAGACCATAATGGACTCATCCAGATCAATGCAGGGTAGAGTCTACTAAAGTTACAAAGGGGTGAAAGGGTTAATGTGGGAGGAAACCAGCAGATACCTTGACAGTTATACTCATGAATACCTCGTAAAATCTTGATAAATAAATGCCAGTATTGTTTTGTTCAAGTTGTGACTTCCCATCAAACCGACAAAACAGAGCAGCTAGGAGACTATTAACCTTTTCACCACTAGGTAACTTCGGTAGACTCTACCATACATTTATATGGATGAGTCCATTATGGTCTGCAGTGGTGAAAGGGCTAAGAAAGATCACAGGGCCCATTTTCAAGAAACCATTATCATGTTCAAGAATGTACTCTTTGCTCAAACTAACTTATGTGTAACTAGTTCAAATTATTATTAACAGTTATAAAGCGAAATGTAACATTGAAAACAGTACTTCAAGCTTTAAGTCTCTCAAAAATTCTGCTTTGTAGTTAAATAGTTAAATTTGTAATACTTCATCACAGGAACAAGAAATATAGCTTGAGCACAGAACACAAGTTTGAGCATAAGAACAGTTTCGTGAATACAGGGCGCAGGTGTTGTGATGGCCGGGGCAGCAGATTAATTTTGGTTTCCGAAAACATGCGGTGAATCCCCTGATTCTACAGGGGAACCCATATAAGCTGCCATAAGTAAATGCAGTGGATACAGCAGGTGTAATCTTTTTCTTAACTCATTCACCCCTGAAATTTCGTAATGAACTATTCCAACCTTTGAATTTGAAGAGCTCAAATGCATCTTTAGGGGTGAATGTGTTAAAATGCATCAACACTAAACTACAGTACTCATTGAAAGGTAGATAAACAGTTTCATATCATCTGCTGGATAACTGAACTACTCGGTATGCATTTTATTAAATAAGGTTGTACCTAGTAATTATCTGTGGCTGCTTTCAGGCGAGGAGCCTTAACAAAGCCTTAATTGCAAGGCCTGCATAAACATTTGCAGGTCCACCAGGATTTTTTTTCCCGAAGATGTTAAACCAACCAGTCAATCAAACAGTATTATTATCTGTGGTCAAAGCATTGTTCACCACCAAATTATTAGATAGTGTAGGGGAGACAACTTTTCTATGTTAATTATTTAGCAGTGGCAGACAAAGGGCCTTTTCGTTTAGGCGGAACAACCGGTTTGTCCGTTTTTAAATGTAACATTTTCAGGTATATATCCTGGGGGACCTGCGAATGTTTATGCAGGCCTTGCAAGGGTTTTATAAGGCTCGCCTGAAAGCAGCATCAGATTACTAGGTCTGTCCTTATCAATAAACAAACATCTTTGGTCTGACCAGTTAAACCGTTTAAACGAAAACGGACCCAGATTTCATTCCGGCAATCAACCGTGGGTTGGAGGCTGCAAATGCCTGTGGGTTACTCTGTGCTGAAGCAGCTCAAGGACTCTGTACTCAATTCAAATTTCTTTTTCCACGTGAACATTGATAAAAAATACATATATCTTATTTAAAACAACTTGGAAGAATTTTGCAGAGACTGAAAGATGAATACTGTTTTAAATATTTACGCTTCAGTTTTCGACTGTGTTGCACGATTCAAACGTAATACAAGAAAGTTGGTTGGAGCATAGAATTAATCGATGCTTCAAATAGAGCATGAGAGCGGTTTCATTAGTTTGTGAATTTGTGAAATGCAGTTCTCGTCAGATTCATTTGTGCACCTACAGGATTTGAGAAATGATATTTTGAAGTAGAGAGTTCTCCACCGACCTGCTCTAGAAGTGCGTTCTGCCACACACGGAACAGCATCATGTAGGTTTTGTCTCGAGCGCCAAATGAGGTGAAGAAATGTTTTTCCTTGTCTGTAGCTATCTGTATAGCATTAGGGATCACTCGCGCTGTCTTTTCCTTAGTAACGGCCGTTATCTCCTTACATGGAATGGTCAGCTACAATAATAGATTCACACCTTTTAACAAACAGGTTCAAATGATCATATTCCACTTTTTATCAAGATACAATAGTCATTTTAACTCGAGACCTTAGAAATGTTTTTTGAGGTAAACAATTTTTCACCTAAATCAATTTTTACATTTTTTTTTTGTAGTTCGCCCCAACCTCTAATTACCAGTATATTCTGTTATTCACATCAAGAAAGGTTTACAGAAACAGGCGATATCAAATAAAGATTAAAATATCAAATCTAGTTTGAAAGTATTGCAAAATTGAGTTAATTTATTTTGATTTTTTATACCTAAGACATACTGTGTTTTCAATCTTGCAATTCATTATGAATTCACCATGCATTATTCTCTCCACAAGGGCTACAAGTGGATTTTTAAATCACAATAATGTGTTTTTAACACAATTTGTGTGAGAGTGATCGATCTCCCTTGTAATACTCAGCTGAGAAAAAATAAGGTTCAACAAGCTCCCTGAAAGGGGGGCTATATTCCGTCTTTTCGTATTGCAGAGTTATCTTCTCTTGTGAGCAGGTATTGATTGTTGCGTCATTAGTTTGTGTGAGAAAATTACGTCGTTTCCTCAAAAATTTATGACGTTACTCTCACAAACAAATGATGTACTCAATACCTGCTCACAAGAGCAGATAACTTTGCAATACGGAATAGTCACCCTAAATTTCAGCCCTCTGTTAAGTCATATTCATAGATCCATATTATAAATCGGATTTCATACATGTAATATGAATATAATGAACTTGTACATTAGCTGTAAAAATGGTACACATATATATATATAGCTATGGTAATGTAGTCAATAAGCAAGACCTTAAGGCTGACATCTTCACAAAAATAGTTCACCTGATTTAAAATATGTCCATCTCTTTAGCGACCTAATGGAATGCTATGAAATGGCATATTATCTTAAGTTAATTCATATACCTAGGTCATGCAGAGCTTGATTTCTCTTTCAGTAGATTAATTGTATGAAAACAGCAAACCAATTCAGCAAACACACAGGTAAGAACATTGATCAAAGTGCGTACCACAGTTTCCCAGCGGAAGATGTTGGCATAGAAACAGACCCAGTTCTGTGTGAGGAACATTCTACCGTGGACCAGGATGTCTTTCTGAAGGGCACAGGAATAATCTGGAATGACAGAAAAAAATGTCAACAGTGAAATATAGCTAATTGCTTTACACAAATAAAGTAGGTCAAATTTAGATAGGCCTCTATTTTGTAAGAGTGTTTTACACTGTGTACTTTCAATATAAACTTCACTTATGAAACAAATTATTTCAACTTATATTAATCACTCTTGTTGGCCTGCATGGATATAAGCGCACTGGGGGGTCTTAATGTTGGAGGAAACCGGAGTACCTGGAGAAAACCCTGGTCACCTTGGTGAAAGGCGACTGTGTTATCCACTACGCCACCCGACCACCCGGTGTGTAACCAGTTGAAAGGGTGGACATTAATGTTGTATAAACCTACATAATATTACAACAACTATCAAACAAGATTTTCCGACTTGTATTAAAAAAAAATGTTTGCCTGGCAGTGTGCTTTAATGTTGGATGGAACTTAAGTACCTGGAGGAAACATAAGTATTCCCAGAGAAAACCCACGTGGTGGTGCAGGTCACACCCATGGCCACTACCTTTAAATTTCACTTCAAATTTGGGAATCGAACCCAGGCTGTCTCGGTAAAAGGCAAATAGGCTATCCACTGAAGTGGCGTGTCACTCGATAACCAGACTGTGCACTGTGTACTTAGTTATGTATGTCCATGACAACACTGTCTATTGCGTAAGTGTGTGACACATACTTTCTACTTTGTTTGCATAAAAAACAATAACAGATTGTTGTAAATCTTTAATATATACTTTAAATCTAATTTGCATTGAATCCAACTCTCCCCCTGGAGAGGTGAATTAGAACGTCTATCCTTCTGTTATAGCTGTGCATGACATAATCATACCATCTGTTTTATACCTTACAATCACACACGTATTAATTCTCTGATCGAAGGTGCAGTAAAGATGAAAGAATTAATCTTTTTATAACACATGGCTTCTATAGTGATATACCTACTTAGAAGGGACACAGAGATATATCCTCTGATGTTATTCTATAATGTTGGCTTGTGTTCAGTGTCCCTAATCTAGAGAATTATCCTATTCACTAATTACACATGAAATATTACATGTTTTTCAGAATGAATGGTATATTTAATAACTATAATCATGCATGCATCAGATTTGAAGCAGCTAAAAAGCATATTTTACAAAACTTCGTAATTCTCAATGCATTCTGGGGGTCCTCGAATTCCAAAGAAATTGAAGGTGATATACGATAAATAAAATGTTTAATACTTGGATGTACACATCAGAAGCATTGTGAGCAGCAGTGTATAGTTGTTAAAGTTTGACCAGCTTTTAAGTTGGCTATTGCCCTAATGGACAGATATAAGCTTAGGGATTAGTCAATTTGATTTTGTTCTGGGTCAGTAAAATGTTGGAATCAAGTGGCATGTTAGGTGTATGGCCTCAGACCACAATAACACTTCTGGGTCGTTGTACACGAATGTAGTGCATAAGGACATTTCAGGTGGGTTACTAAATAATTTTTCCTGTCTAATCTATGCCAGATATGTATAGTTTTTGTACATAGAATTGTTCAACAATATCTATTCTAGTGATTAATTTTATTTGACACAGTTTCCAAGTTTGTCTTGGCAGCAGGACACAATGAGTGATGAGGCTTGCACAGTGATATTTTGTGATTTTTAGTATTTTCCCCTTTACATGCAGGGTAGTGACATTCAAATAAAATTATCTTTCTTAAATGCCGGTCATGAGGTACTTTCCAGCTCACCGTACGTTCAGTNTAGTAGAATTAATTGTGGTCCGAGGCCTGCATGTGACTGGTTGTTCTGGGTCAGTGAAATGTTTGTAAGTGTCTGTGATTTGTTAGTCTATTTAAGTCAATAAAAGTTGTGTCTGGGCAATTTTAATATAAGACTGTGTGCTAGCATGTTAGTTTGGTGCTATGATGTGTCTCAACGTAACACTGATGTCTTATAATTACACAATAGTCGGACTGATGTACAAGCTACAAGCTACAGGTGCATCATGCCTTGCTCCCTTCCCTGATGACATGTGTGAACACCCAGTTACCAGACTTCCAGTGACATAGTTACTTGTAATCAGAATGACAGATATTTGTGCTAACAGTGTTCCTCCAGCTTCCCTAATTCTTATACACACACATATATATATCTGTCTTAGATTACATCACCATGCCTTTTTTTGTGTACAGTAAATATAATGTAATCATGATGGAGTGAAAATCAAAATTATTGTATGAGTGAATGTTAATGATCAACATTATTAACTTAACTGATATGTACTTCACATACAATGTATTAAACACTGGTATTAATTTATTTGGGATTCTGGGAGATAATAGGTATTCAATTTAAATACTTGCTATCAACACTGTTGGATATTTACTTCATATAACACATAAGAATCATATAACCAACAATGTACTAAGTATGATTATCAGGGGTGGAAATATTATTTTTTCTATTTATTTAAAAATTAATACCTCAGTGTTCTCCCCAGGCTGTTTTTGCAGCATATGGCACCATGCTCCTATAATTTCTTGCCATGCTGCTACCCTAGATCTTCTCTGCTATATATTCATAGTAAACCTAAAGTTACCATGCCGCTTTGATTTTATTTTACATAGAGTGCTGCTTTAACAGAAATATTGAAATACCATGCTTCTTTCAAAACCTTCTAGGGAGAACACTGTACCTTCATAATAATCTATAAAATATCAAACTTCAGACAAAATATTATCCAATCAGACGATTAAATTATGATGGTTTTTTTTCAATTTTTGCCTGATTGGATAAAAAGAACCCGTCAAATTAGAAAGAAAAGAAAAACTAAATCCTGTCATCCACTCAGAAAAAGATATATATCATTCAAATTATGATGTCACTGTAATTAAAATGTGTGGAAAAATTAAAGAGCCAGATGAATCTAAAACTATAAATTTATTGATTTTTTTTCTGGCCATTTAGGTCAACAAAACATTTATCAATAAAAAAATTGGCAAAAATACAAACAAAAACTTCCGTAAGTTAAAAGAGATTTAAGCACGCAGGCTCCCGTGACAGCTAGAACAGAAAGCACAGACAGTCAAAATGAAATCTCTGGATACGGTATGTCGCAGTAGCAATTTTGATTCTATTTCTGCTGAAGACAACGACCCATAAGAACAAGGCTGTATGATCGATATATAGTGCGATGAGACCTGAATTAAATTGGTCCCCTTTCAGTCATTACAGCTTGATTCATGCAGCGCTCACAACCAAGCTTAAGTCTCAGATGGCCAAATATCCTGTCAAGATACCATTTAAGGAACGAAGGTCGCCACAACAAATTATTTCGTCTGAGTTTTTTTCTTTGTTTGCTTTCTTGGATTGAATGGTTAGTTTACATAAATACAAATGAATGTATATTTAAATATTTACGTACATCTTTCTGACATATTTCCGGAAATACTGGCGTAAATGTTGGTATCTCGTAGTCTTGGAATCAATTTTTAAGATATTAAATGTCCATGTACAAACCTCATTGCCATGGATACTGATGATAGAGCATCTCAAACCCTTGTACATACTATATATATAGTTATATATTACCATAAATGTACTGCAGATTAAAAAACTTTCGCCCAGTCAAAAAATTGTCCTTTGTCGGTGAAATTCAGATGATATGTTTGCCGTGCCCTTAAAATATGTTTAGTAACTGTAATATTCAGGTATAATGCACAATTTTTAAGAAAAATTTTAGATCAAGAAAAGGGTTCACACTTTACATATTGGAACAATCCAAAATCAGTCCTGGGTTGTGATCATTAACCAAAATTTTCAGGGATTTTCGATATTTTGAAAACATACTCATAGCACTAAATTGGTTAAATTATGTGTATCAATTCCTGATTGCAATGGTCTATTTTACCATTACAAAATATGTTATTATCACTTTGTACAATTAAGTTCACTTTCATGATCAATTTCCCCTCATTTTGGGAGGCGAAAATGACTGAAGATAACCATAGCAAAAATGTCCTGTATCATCTCATGATCATGACCTGGGAAAGTTTCTTACGATTTGAAAAGCATTCCTGGATTTTCTAGACGTAAATAATTATATCTCATAGCCTCGGAAATTGACATTTATGTTGTTACATTAAGAGTCATTCAGACAAATTTTGGTCAACACAAACTTTCAAAAATACATATCCGGCAATGTGTGTCACCTGTGCAGATAATTGTTTTACGATTTATTGTATACCTGGACATTTTCGTCCAGTTATAACTTTTGCCCTTCGCCTATAAAATCGATTTTTGCCCAGTGCTAATTTCGCCGTTCACATTTCATTTCTATGTATATTATGTTGTTAAATGATATTCGTTGTAATGATAAATTCGTCCACATCACAGAGGGCGAAAAAGAAAAAAAAGAAAAAAACGGCAGCAATTTTATTTTTTTACTTTGTCATGGTGTCTCGCGATCCCTTCCAAATTGATTTCGTACACCTGTGTTTCATGATGAAATTTAAACAATGAATAACTAAAAAAAAAAATATATATATTATAGTTTGACACAGAATAATATTACTGGTATATATTTCTCCTCTATTAATTTTTGTTAAAAAAGATCCATTATTCTTTATCTAGTTTTGTTAATTTTCCGAGGGCATTCAATACATCAAATATGGTAAACATTTCAGAATAAACAAATTAGGTTGGATTTTTAACGATTTTGTTCTACAGTCTGTAGATGTGATGTCATATAGTGCAGTGACTGTTGAAGACCAGATGTTTCAAGCTTTAATAAAACTGTCGATATACATTAATCCAGCACTCCTGGCGCAGACTGGCTTATACGCTTTATACATGTAATTCTCATTCCAAACGAACATTACAACGTGGAATTCTAGCTGATGTTTGAAGCATCAAATTGTTAATAAAATCTATCAAGTGCAATAATTTTGAAAAGGATTACAAACAAACAATAATCAATTATAAACATATTGCCTTAAATATTTTCCCCATAAATAAAACG